CTCCCGGGGGCGCTGTCGGCTTTCGGCTACGGGAGGGCAGGTTCATAAGGGATAGGAAGACATTTTTCACCATGAGGGCGGTGAAACACTGGCACAGGGTGCGCAGAGAGGCCGTGGAGGCCCCATCCCTGCAAACGTTCAAGGCCAGGTTGGACAGGGCTCTGAGGAACCTGCTGTAGTTGGAGATGTCCCTGCTCACTGCAGGGGGGCTGGACTAGATGACCTCAAAAGGTCCCTCCCAACCCGAACCATTCTACGATTCTACTCCTACCCGCTGAAACCCCACATATGGAAGAAGATTTTTGCTACATTCATACCAAACCAGAAGTTTCAAGATATGCTCAGGCACTGCCTCTGGCGTGCCAGGCGAGCAGACACTTCTCCCTCCCACCGCCAGCTTCCCCCCGTGCAGCGCGGTGCCTCTTCACCACAGCCCCCCACCGTGGTTTTGCTCACGCTGGTTTGGCCAGGCCGCCAGCTTGCGGAAAAGCAGGCACTGAGTCAGCTGCAACACACCTCGCCGTGCCATCTCCGAACAGCCCTGCTCTCCCCCTTCAAGTTATCTCCTGCTGTACAATCCAGCCCATAAACTGTTTTCCAAGCCCCTTTGTGCCTGTGCTCTTTGGTGGTCAGTGACCAGATGGGACAAGACGCAGAAGACAGTGCTTGCATCGGGCGTCGTCAGACAGACTGGCAGATAAATCTGCTGCAGGCCTTCTGCCTGTGTGCAGGGGGAGCACGAAGCGACATTTCAAGAAGCAACTGATTATTCCACATCTTTTAAACGTTTGGCAACGCAGACAGATTTTCTTCTTAGGGGCTGCATTTGAGTTTGATGGCAACACGCTAAGTCACAGTGGGAGCAAGCGTGAGGAAAGCAGCTGGGTGAGCATGCACCACGGTGCCTGCACCAGCCCCTCTCCCCCCCGACAGGCAGGACAGAGATCCGGACACCAAGAGTCTTTCGCCAGCACTCGCTTTTGACCTTTATTCTGCAACCAGCATCACCTACTGACGGGGGGAGGGAGGTTACACGTCCCGCTTCTCACCACCCTCCTTTAGCCCCTTTCTTCTTTTTCTGCTGCTGCTTCTTCTTGGTGGCCGGGGCACCAGCGGGTTTTTGGTGCCTGGGAGGGACGACATTACTTGTGGCCGATACGGCGGCAGCACTGCCGGGCCGAGGGGAGGTAGGTGGGCTGCTGGCAGTCCTGCTGGCATCCCTGCGGGGAAGATGACAAAGAGGTACCATGTGGGTTCACAACCACCTGCAGGATGCGGCACCACTGCAGGAAGCCGACAGTGAAAAACAGCCACTGCCCCGTAAGACAGCATTAGGTAGCACTGCGTGTGGGAGGGCACTCACGCAAGGAGAGCTCAAACAAGCTTAAATAAGCTTCAACTTCTACAGCACGGCTGATGGATGATGGGAACATGTCTCAAAGGGCAGGCAATCACCTTCTAACTGATGCTCACTAGTGAAAGTCCTCAACAACAAAAGCAAGGCTAACTTTTGAAGAGACATGTGGCAGCTCACGCAACACAAGAAGCTTTTCAGGCCCCAGACTTAGGCAGTGCAAACCCAACCTCCTTTCTCTCTCCTTAACCAGAAAGGCATCCTTGTGCCAGCTCTCCTTGCAAACGCTGCTCCAGCCAACAGTGCCACAAAAGGCTTTTCATGCTTCTGTTTGAGACAGCTGTGTAAAGAGAAACTACCAGACAGCACCAGCAATTCCCTGCATTCCTATTATTTTAGAAGTACTTCCTTCTCTCAGATGCTCGTAAGTCACCATCTTGCTGTCAGGCCTCACACACAGTGGTAAATCCTGACTACAGCTGAAATAACCAGTGTCAACTTAGAAGGAAGTACAGTGTTTTCCCAAATCACAGCTAAGGGCTCTCCACCCACCAAAAGACTTGAAAGCAAATAGCTCGAGAGAAAGCACGCAAAATTCATCTCACCAAAGCTAAGAAAAGCACATTTTTAAAAGACTATGGGAATTTTATTTGCACCTTGCCACCTTCAAGCATGCCCATCGTATCATTCTGGTTTTCAGCGACCTACAGGAATCTCTGGAAAGGGCAGCTGGTAGAGGGTAGAAAGGGCAAAGTGCAGTCTCACTTGTGCTACCCATGGTTGGCGTGGTGACAGAGCCACAGGTAAGCAGCACAAACCCAGCCTTCCCAGCCACCCACGGGTGATTCCCCACACCACGCCCTGCAAAGAGGCTACTTACAGTTCAGAGGAGCCAGCTGTGGTTGAACCCTGAGTCCCCTTGCCGACCTGATCCTTCTTCTTGCCCTTCTTCCGTCCACGATAGTAGGAACGCTCTCGCATTGGGAGCCACCGCTCAGGGTCAGGAGTCACCTTGGGGTCGTAGTTCTTAGGCAGCTTTCCTGCAGAACATCCAGTGCCAGGAAATGAGACTGGGGCCAACGCGCTGGAGAGGCATCACCAAGGGATATGCAGGGGATGTCAGCAGCCAGGCAGCACGAAGAGCCCAGCAACCCACATCGCCCCATCAGCACGTTGCTCTCACTTCTGTGGAAAAACAGCTCAGCCAAACAGGCTATCATGAAGATCTGGGTTCACAGGGACCCAGTCCCAGCAAAGGGCTCCAGCTCCCGGGGAGCTGAAGGCTGGCTATGTGAAGAACCAATCTGATGAGCTCTCTGGAGCTGTGCTGTGTCAGCCGCTAGGAAATGCAACTTACCCTTCTTTTTCTTCTTCTTCTTCTTCACATCCCCTTGTCTGAAAAGCAAGCAGGGAAACAGCCGCTGTGACACAGCACGGACATAGCAGACAAGTCAACTAAAAACTAGCTCTGGAAGAAGCTAAACCATACCCACTTCCCTCAAAACTTGGTCTGCTGCTACCTGAGGTTCTTTGCAGTTAAACAACAAGCTCCCCTTTCCACCAGCCTGCCTTCTACAGCAACGTTCCCACCACACCAAGTGTGGTTCCCATGCCACCCCAAAGAACAACTGCACCAGAGCTACAGCAGCCTGCTTTACCCTTGCTCCTTCTGCTGGCTGTCTCCAGCGAGCTTCCCAGCTTTCTTCCGAACATAGGTTGCTCCATGGGAGTTCTCCAGCGCATCAACATCTACTTTCAGAGACATGGTGTCCGAGGAAGGCAAGTGTTTGCTAAGACTGCAAGGGAAGAGTTCAGGAATGCAAACCAGCAAGCGAAAAGATAAACAACGAGGTTTGCCCAGGCAGCAACAGGCACCTTCAGCCTGAACAAATTCAGCCTGTTCGCAATGCAGACACCAGACTCCCACCAGCTTCCTGCACAAGCTGGGATGAGCTGCTTAATCACCATCTGCCTCATTTTCCCCTTCTTTGTTACAGAGACAGAAGTAGCAACTTCCTCTGAAAGCTGCTCAGGATGGCAAAAGCAGTATGCGAACCTGGTACTTTGGGTCAGCGAGAGCTTAGCTGTATTTGGTCGGGCACAGTCCTGCATTACTACCACAGGTTTAAGATTCCAACAGAAAAGACGGAGGAGCTCCTATTTTTGGTTGCACCTAGTCTTAAGTCATAAATTCTCAGAGAGGAGGAAGCCAAAGACAAAATGGTCCCGGGACCTTGCAGTAGTCAACCCAATTAGAGAAATAACGTGGCTCCAGGCAACTCGACCTGGATATGTAGCTGTTCTGGAGATGTTCCTTGCGTTTCTTCAGGCAAGAGCGGGTCCAAGTTCCCCACGCAGCTGAAATCCAAGGGAACAATGCCCAAACGCCTCTTTCTTTGCTCTGATACCACCATCAAAAGGATACACTTTAGCTTTTTCGGGGTCCACCAAGGAGTAGGCAGAGATGAGCTGTGCCAGAGTATGCACATCTTTTGGGTTTTGCCTTTGCAGGGAAGAAAGAAGAAAAGGTCCAAGTTACCAAGGTACAGACTCACCCCCAAAGACTGGTATCACCATGCAGTGCTTGCTGCTGCAGCACAGCTGCTGTCTGTGGGGATAGGCATGTCAGTCTGTGGTCTCCTCCAGAGCACGTCACCAAACATCACTGGTGGGGACAAAGGGAGGTGCAGGCATCTCCACAGTATCATGAAGCAGGCGATGAACGACAAAAATCCCCCAGGTCCCAGTAGCAAAGCCAAGTTAACAGTAGCTCAAAAAAAAAAAATCCCATCAAGTGCACAATAAAAACCAAAACCTAGACATCCACGGTATAGGTAGCACTACAAAAAAATTGTGAATCCCACTCCCCAAAGCAACCGTCACTTGCACACAAGAGGCCTCTGCGACAAGTCAACCAGGTTTTCAAGTGAACATCAGCTGTAGATCAAATGAATTACCCCTTCTCCTTCCAAAACATGGTTTTGCACTGGAGCCCCTGTGCAAAAGCAACTCTAAAGGACGACCCCCAGTCAACCAACATTGTCGGACACCGCCTGGTACCACACAACTTGCAGAGGTCTCTAGGTGGAGACCTCCT